CCAAAAATAAAAATAAACGTTGAAAAAAAAAATTTTTTAAAAAACACTCTGTGTGTTTCCCACACGGATTACGTATTGCTTTCGGGAGAACATAGTTGTCACTGGCCGGATGAACGCAAAGGGTGTGTGCTCACACACGAGGCCCAGAGGGACACACACCGAAGAGTTAAGAGTCGTCCACACCTGCACAGTGTGCCGCACTCGGGCCTCCCCACACACACGCGGGCGCGGCGGGCGGGCGGTGGTGTTCACTCAGGGCCGTGCAGCGGGGTGCTCGGGGGGTGGGGTCGGTCGCGGCCCCGCACGAGTGACACAGCCGGCCGCCACCACCTCACGGTGACCCGGCAAATACGGCCGCGGGGAGGCACCGTCCGCCTTACAATTCCTCTAAAAGATCGCAAGAAAAAAACCCAAACGTGGGCGAGACGTCACTGACGCGCGGAGAAGGCACAGCTTTGGAAAACGTCTCGGCTGCACGCGAGCCAAGGTCTCCCGAGCGGGAGGAGCGCGCTCCCCGGGCTATGCTGATGCGGGACGGACGGACGGACGGATGGAGCTGGAAGCGCCCTGGCAGCGGCGGCAGGGACGCGACGAAGGTGTTTACGGGTCGGGCGGGGGGCCGGGGGCCGCTCGCTTGGATTCCAAACGGCATTGTCGTCCGCCTGCTAACAAACCAGACGGCGGAGAAAGCACGTGAATCGCGCCTCGCTCATTCTCCAAGGGCCCTGAAGAGGACGAGGGCCTTAATCCCCGAGGGCCCCGTGTGAACCCGCGGGGCTCCGCTCCGGGCCGCACGCGCTCCCGGGCCCTGCCGTCCGGATCCAGGGGCTCCGGTGTCAGCGTGGCGCACTCGGCAAGGCTTGGGAAAGGCGTTCTTTGGTCCCCATGCGACTCATTCCTTGGAAGAAAAGGAAACGGGAAGAAAGGTTTCATGTCCGGGCTTTGGGCCTTTGATCATTTGACGAGCGAGGTCTGTGGCGCGGCCTCTGGCTCTCAGGCCAGACAAAAGCAGCCCGGGTGCGACAGGCCGGGCCAGCTTGTCCCAGAACAAAACCGGGGGCGGGGGCGCAGTGTGGCGGCCTGGGAAAGACCCACTTGGCCCGCGAGGGGCCGTCCTGCCCTTTGATCTCTCCTGAGACCGCGGCCCAGGCCCCAGGTCAGGGGATTTCACACCGCACGCCCCCTTCCCGGGCAGAGGGGAGCAGGTCAAGAACAGAAACGGGGGGGGGGGGGGTGTGTGACCGATGGGCCAGGGCCTGGGGCGGCCCTCTCTGGCCGGTTCCCCATGGCTGGGCTCCATTGTTGACGGCCGCCCACACTTGACGTGGGATTTGACGTTACATGGCACAGCAGAGCGGGTCAATGCGGGCTGGGGCTCGGACAATGCCGGCACCCCGCCCCTGGCCGGCTCGTCAGGCAGGAACATTCTCGTCCACAGCTGCCTCTCGCGAAGCAGCGACTGCACCTCGCAGCATCCGGCTGTGCCGCACCCCCTCGCAGGACACCCCGGTGACCCCCCCAGCACTGGGAAAGCGTGGCGTCCGCCCCGTGCCTCTGGGCGAACCCACACGGGAGGCATCTCGAACACGAGCGCCGGTCGGGATCCTTCAGGAGGAATTCTGATTTAACACGAGGCAAGTGTTACGTGTGCAGCAGGCCGAGAAGGGAGGGCCGGTACCAGGGACGAAACAGAAATTCTGCTAGAGCTCCGAGCTCCCGTAGTTGCAAGTTTGCAAACGAAAGGATGTGTTTGATAAGACACAGTAGCATTAGCGGACAGGAAACTTTTAACTAAAAAGATTAGGATCGCGTTACGCTCTAAAACCAAAATACGTCTTCACCAGTGTCAGACCTTTTGTGTTTTTGCGTCAGTCTCTTTGTTTGCGCGTGGCCAGCACTCAGCTAATTTCGGGGGCTTAAAATAATATTTGGCGGCACAAAGCCGATCTCGTTCTCCCTCCGGCGTCCGGCCAGGAAGCCGTGGACGTCTGGCAGGGTGTGGGGTGTGCAGCCGGGTTCAGTCCTGGTCCTCCGGGAGCAGGTTGTACCAGCAGAGATGCCTCACGCGCTAGTCTCTACGTGTGAAACAGCGGCCTGCGGGCTCATCCACACACCCGTATCCTTGGTCTGGAGACGGGCTCCGTTTCTCTTGTTTTTAACCACAAGAAAGTGGAGTAAGGAAAATGCTTATTTTAGAGTTGCCAGCATCGGTGTGAAAATGTACTGAAATTGTTTTCTTTTTTTGAATTATTAAAAAGTTTTTTGGATGTTTGTTCATTTTTGGGAGAGAGACAGAGTGTGAGCAGGGGAGGGGCGAGAGGGAGACACAGAATCCGAAGCGGGCTCCAGGCTCCGAGCCGTCAGCTCGGAGCCCAACGCGGGGGCTCGAACTCACGAACCGTGAGATCACGACCTGAGCTGAAGTCGGACACTTAACAGACTGAGCCCCCCAGGCGCCACTGAACCTCATTTCTATAATCTGCTCCTGCTTCTGGGCAAAGGACGTTCTGGAAGGCGGGGCCTGTCTGCGAGGACACACGTGCGAGTGTGTGTGTAGATGGAGGGACCGTTTGGTTCACGGGTGAGAGAGACGGGAGGTGTCCCCACCTCCTTCCGGGACCCGTGGGTCGTGCACGGGCACCGCAGGGTAGGCGGTGTTTCCTCAGAGCAGCTTGGGCAATGCAGCAGGATCCTGGGTTGCCATGGCGACTTGCGAGTGACTGTCCAAGAGGTGGGTCCGACACGGGGGTTTCCCCGAACGTGACTGTGGAGCTCGCTCCCTGGTCCCTAAGGAGACCCCTCATGGGTTTCTTCTCGAGACTACGCTGTGGGTGCTGCAGACCAGCTCAGCGCCCACACGTCCACGGGAGCGAAGGGGCTGGGGCTTACGTCCTGCTCCCGTGGTCCGCCCAGTCCCAAGGTGGGGGGGCGCTCTCCCCGTGGTCCGCCCAGTCCTGAGCAGGAGTGGGGGCGCCGCTCTCCCCGTGGCCCCTGCTCTCGGGCACTGTTGGTGCCCCTGTGCCTTCTCGCCGTGGGGCGTTCAGGGTGCAAGTCCCGGTGCCGCATTTGGGAGGAAGAGACCAGGAGGAGAGGCCGTGTAGGTGCAGGTATGTCGAACAGGGGGTGTTCCGGGTTTTATCTGAGATAAGACGGGGTCGGGCGACCGCAGCCACCCCCAGAGGCGTAGCGGAGTCTGGAATGACCGACGCTGTATTCTGCAGGTACGGTTTATGCCAACACTTCAAGGATACTACGAACTGCATTTAAAGCTCCAAGCGGCGTCTTCGCCTCGATCGCACTCATCATAACACGTTCAGCAGGCACTTACCCGGCACCCGCCGCGCGCCCAGCCCCGCGCCCGACACCGGCAGCAAGGGAAGAGCCACAGAAACACCGTGCGTGCTGCAGACAGCTTTCACGTGATCCGGGGAAGGGACAACGAGCGGCTAATTTCCTCCGAGGCCGCCGAGAGCATTACCCTGAGGTTGCCACGGCAACGCTGGCCCCGCTCGGCCCCAACAAAGCAGCCCGCTCGCTCGGAGCCTCACCTTTGGCCATCTTGTTGAGAACCATGTCGATCAGGACGTAGGTGCCGCTCCTGCCCGCGCCGTCGCTGCCAACGGAAGGGGAGAGGTGAGAACGCGGCCAGGGCCGCGTGAACCCCACGCCCACCAAAGCCGGCGGACAGCCGATTGCCCTCTGCGTTTAAGGGGAGTCGTGTGGGGAGAGGGAGGCTGTGAATTTGAGAGAAAGCAGAAGAAAGCGGGGTGAGGAGGCATCCCTGGGTGGAAGA